GATCGCGACATCAGTCATCCCTCTTACAAGTAATTTCAATCCTTCTCATTGTCGTTTTTCCCCGGAAAAATATTCGAATCCGATCATGGAACGACTCGTGATACCAGTAGAAAAATAACCGACCGACGATCCACGCTACGATTCTGCGTAAACTATGACGAATGTTGCTTGTTATATCGAAATCTATTGCTCGTTACCGTTTCTTCTCCGATACGCGGCATTGTTCGACGGAATAGAAACGATCGTTTGTCAAATAACGAGGTCACCGCAATTTCGTTCTCATGAAATATTGCGAGTTCAAGATCGATCGATGAATTTGTCATTAGTTTCACTTTTCGATTTATCTTTTTTATGATTATTGTTCCATTATTATAATTGCGATTGTATTATATATATAATATAATATAATACATTTTTAAATCAATATTTCTCTTCTTATTCAACAAGAAAAAATTTGAATATTCGTATAAAATAAAATAATATTGTACACGGATTTAATATCGTGTTATGTGTCTTAATTTTTAATATATTTGATAGATTAATATATTGTGCTTCTTTTCTTACCTCATCCTTTAATTCACTCGAATAATTAAACTTGAACATTATATTTTTTATTTCTTTGTTTTCCTTTTTCAAAAATAAAATTATAAAACTATCGTAATAAAAAATACACATTAAAACTCGACCCATTAGACTATCATCCTAGTATCTATTTACCTTAATGATCCAGCGTTCGAATTCTCCTTCAACCTCAGTCTAAGCGGATTCAATTTACTCCGGAAAATTCCTCGTCGTTCCCCCTATCTCGAAAATAAAGCAAAAACATTATCGCGCCATTCACCTCGCCCAGTCGTTAGAGAGTCCAAGGAAACGGGTCCATTCGGAATCAACGGATCGAGATCATTAAAACGGACCCTCCAAGTGTCAGAACCTCGCCGCGGTGAAACACACGCTCACGAACTGTCGTCTCGACATTAAATAATCGCGATGAAATTTCATATTTACGCGAACCCGCTAATTACGTATCCGCGCCGCGTAAAAACGATCCCGCTCATTACACTCGAAACAATTAATTACGACGGTGGCTCAAAAGGAATGGGTGGAGAATGGAAATTTGTACGTCTGCCCGTTTCCTCGCGCGGCCATATCATGCCTCATCCTCCGCTTTTTCCCCTCCCCTCCCTTCGATTTTATACCTTCTCCTTTTTTTTTCTTTTCGTTCTTTTATTCCACTCCCCCTCCTCCCTCCTCTTCGCCCGTATTTGTCGGCCCCCGAACGCCAGTGGAAACGAGCGCAGAACAATATTTCTCGGTGGTGGCGCGTCGGCTGCCGATAAATACGGACTTCGCGCGTACAGCGAGGAGCACCCTACCGGTTTTGCGGTATCTCGAACGGCTTAATGGCACTGTTAACTACCGTATTATTTAACGGGGATTTATGCATTGCAGTCGGGCCGATTAAAACGGCGGCCGGCCCGGGGGCGAGGGGCGGACTAGCCGGAACGATATAGGAAGATGCGTATACCGCGGGGGATGAAGCTCTATCCTTAATTCCTCGTGAAAGCTCAAGTTGATCGGTCTGGCTGCTTGCTATGGCCGATATGGCAATGGAATAAGTGCGAATCACGGGATGCAACCGGAAAAGGATGGTTTTTCCTGGCTGGAAAATAAATTGAAAGTTAGCGTTATGTTCTATTTTGGAGAAAAAAAAGATTTGAAAATCGATTTTGGGACAGAAGCAAGTTTTCCAGTTCTTGTTGTTTTATTATCTGGAATTGCCTCTGTATTTTTTAATAATATCGAGAAGAATTGTACTCCATAATCTAATGTTACAATTTATCGATTTTTTATCCGATAATAAAACATTTATTATTAAAAACATTTACGGTACGATTAAATTAAATGGAATATCTTTGTGCAAATAATCGATACTTATTATTACCTATAAACTCTTCAAGTAGCGTTCAAAACGTTGAAGTGCGTCACAGAAGAAAAATTGCAAAATAAAATATGTGTCTTTGTGTGAAATAACGTTGAATGAAGATAACCAGTTTCCAATTAAGAAAATCCTTTATCCTCGTGACTCAAGAATCGCGGAGAACGTTCTCGCAGATAAAAATCCTCTTAAATCTTCCGCAATTCCTTCGTATCTCCTCATTAGAATTCTCGCGACGCATCAAATAGCAAATGGAAGGCTGTCAGTCGAAAGCAAGCTAAATTTTCACCGGATACAGAGAAAGAGAGAGAGGAGGAGGATCGTGCGAGAATCGACGTCTCGCGAAACGGAAACAATTCCTAGGTCGCGAGATAACACCTCCGTGCAAGGAAGATTGCGAGTGGAACGAGGACAGGGCGAAGAGGTGCACCATCTACGTCACGATCGCTGCCAATGGGATCTAGGATCCAACGATGCTATTGAGGATTTGCATCTCTCGCCTTCCGCGGCGAATGCGGGGAGGAAGCGTTCGTGAGCCGGTGCGACGAGGGAACGATGGGAAATCCGGTTGGGAGCATATAGGTATGCTCTCGCGGGTGCGACGGAGACCGTGACAGTATATAGGTGGGACGATAGTGGCGGGCAGAACAAGGACAGGTAGCGCACGTAGAAAGAAGAAGAGAGGCAACGAGAGAAACGGAGCATGGTCGATGTGTCTAGCCTAGCCCGGTTGGCTGGCTGGCTGGCTGGTTGGCTGGCTGGTTCGGGTGGCTGGATGAACCAGGGACCGTCTAGGTTGCGTCTGCCCCGCACAAACTCGGTATTATCTATACGTCTAGACACCCCTGCGCCACCGAGAGAAGACCATAGCGGTTTGGCGCTCCGCTTGTAATTTACAGCGCGCCCCGCCGTGTCTCTACATCTACGATCCCGCAAATTTCTCTTCCCGGTCGTGTCTCTTCCTCCTCCTCCTCCTCCTCCTCCTCCTCGCCTTCTACTCCTCCCCCTCTTCCTTCCTTCTCCACCTTCCTTCACCTGACTCTTTTCATACCTCTCCTCGCTTGACCCTTGTCCAATATCAACGTGCATCCAGATATATGCGTCTCTCGTGGCAAACGTTGCCTCGTCGATAATTATTCGCCCTCGTTCGATGCGTAACATCGAGATCGTATGAATGTAGTGGGATCTCGGTGGCACGGATCAGCCTCGCAACACGTTCGCTGTTGAAGAAACGACTAGTAAGAACGGAATCGATTGACAGTTGAAATGGAAAAACGGTATAAAAGCCGCAGAGAGAGCGTAGTGTGCGGTCGATGGACATCGTGGGGAATCACCGCGGGAATTCCTCTCTCGCCCCTGTCGATGAAGCTCGCGTGCGCGACGCCGCCACTTCAGATATCACTGGTGTACGAGCGATCGAGGGGATCACGGACCACGTGAAAAGGGAAGCAGCCGTCAATTGGTATACACGGTGTACACACGGGCCGCGCGTGAAGAGAGTGCGAATATTGGTATCGCGATAACGAACGGGGAACCCCTCGCGTGTCCGAAAGTACGAGCCACCCCAGCCGTGCACGTTATCCTCGAACACGCGTGCGTTATATCGGCGATCTCTCGGTGATTAATGCCAGCTGTTAGTACCAGGAGGCTCCAGTCAATTGAATCTCATCGTTCGACCGCGTATAAGCCTCGCTCGCTTCTAGTTGCCTTTATCCGTTCGCTCTAATATCATCGACAATGTTAGGCGTCTTAAAGGCATTCATTTTTATGTTGTTTTCAATCTTGAATCTGATTTGGTATTATTTATAAGAATATTTATAAGAATATTTAATGAATTTTTTGAATGTATCTCTGTTTTTCATTATTCTTACGTTTTTTAAAGAAAAAAGTAAATTAATTTTATTATGTTATACTAATGATATAAATAAAAATTTGTAATTGTATTTTTGTTTGTATCGATAGAAATCTGTAAATGAACTTCCAATTTCCAGTTTTATGCATCCTATAACTTGTTTTCTTCGAAACAATGTGATTTCTGTAAGATTTTTTTTTCGAAGTTGTGACACGTTTTGTTTAAAAATGATTGACTACGAAGATACATTTCGATTGGTAAATACGTTAGTACAGGTTTTACGTATCCTATATAACTATTGAATTTCATATTCTTGTCATCTTCGGTCTTTCGTAAGATATCTTCTTATTATTTAAGCCATCAATTTTCTCGAACAACATTCTCGAGGAAAAAAGAATTTACATGTACTCGAATTCCAACATCGACACGTAAATAATAGATCCCATGGAATCGCCTTACCATGTTAGGGAAGAAGAAACGAGAAGCTTCCATTGGTTGTCCATTTTCAAAACTCTAGGTACGGAAAGAATAAAGTTTCCCTGGTGGACCTTGGATACGATAAAATCCTGGCAGGTGCGTAGCACGTTAAACTTTCGAGTTTCGAGGACGCAATTTTCCCAAGGGAATCAGTCCTCGCTAATGCAAGAGTGGTTATAGAAGGAGAAAGAGGAAAGAGGGAGATGGAAACAGGGGTATAAAGGGGGACGATGTAAAGGGAAAGAGAGGGAACTCTGTGCGGGCGGTAACTGGCGACGAGGAGTTTGAGGGTTGAACGAGCTGACGCTTTAAGCGATGTAAGTTACAGAAACTACGCTTCCGACCAGTCTCGGGCGCAGATTAGTCGTAATCTCGGCGCATTGCACTCTGCAGCCGTTTCCAACCACCCTTTCACCCCCCGTTAGCTCGAGACCTCACAACTACAAAGCTTTCCAAACCGTTACCTCCTCGCTGAACCAAGACGAACGTGTTAGACGCATCTAAATTCACGTATACCAGAAGCTGCATCGTTTCCATCGTTGTGACACACGCGCGCGCACGCGCACGCGATACACACACATATGCACACAGACACTGTATATATTTGTCGCTGTATCGCCACTTTGATTATTTCCTGGAGGCTTAAACCAGCTACGTCTACGTCTTCGTGTGGCTCCAGGTTACAACTCGCGGCGAAGATTAAACACTCCTTGGTTTATGACCTCATAGCTGGTCCTTAGACTCGGTTTACTGTGGCTCAACGAGATTTTCCGCGGTAGCTACCGCTTCCTTTTATACGCCTGTTACTGAAAATCGATAGTCCTAGGTGATCGTAGCTTGATACTCGGTAATATCGTCTCGGTGATGTAATAGTATAGTTAAATCAGCGATTGTTCCGAGGCCATCACTTTTTACATAAAATATGTCCATCTTGGCGAAAATAGGATAAGAAACTATGGTAACTAGTATAATATTGAACAAACTAAAGGTTTACGTGGATTCTATCTGCAAATAGTTTCAATAACTTGTTTGCTTCTTTCCTTAAATACTTTTCTTATATTTCCACGAGTGATATAAAAAAATGAAAGGCGATTTACAAGACAAAAAAGAAATTACAAAGACAGAGGGAACTATTAACATTAAAAATCCAGTGATTTTCGATAATATTTGGTAGTGACTCTTTTTGTAAAAAGAACAATTAATTTGTTTGTTTAGTTTGTTTAATATTTGATCAATATTCAACAATATGTAAATTTCAGCAAGGAAGTTATATTACGAGATAAATTATTTCGACGAAACTGGTCCAGAAAGTACGAACATCTGATGGGTGGATTTTTTAAGAAGGTACCAGTGTCGAATAGAAACGTGCGATGCAGTATCCGTGATGTGCACCATACGAATTTTAATGTGTTCCGATGTCACTGACCGTAGGTGTTGATCGAAGAATGCAGAAAGAAGGGATTTCCGGCGGACACTTTCGAACACAAACCGCCGGAAGATACGATTAAGCGTTCACCGATTCTTCTGAAACCATCGCCATCCATTCCCAGAACGACATCCGGTATGATAGGCTTACGATCATCTCATCCGGAATACAATCTCGAGTTTACAGGTCGTTGGTATACTTCGCCAAAACATACGATTGAACCACCCATGAAACCTGGCGAATTTTGCGTAGCACAACAAAAATTCATTTTTCTCGGTTAAATGAACAAACATTTGAATACAATATGGAATATATATTTTGTACACAAAACATTGTATACCATAAGAAATGTATCGAAAAATAAATTGTCCTAATCTTGTTTAGCACAAGTATTACGGCATAAAAATACACATAATTCTTAATTTCCAAGATAGCATATCTTTATAAAAACACGCTAAATGGCTTTGTACAGAATATTAAATCCTAAAAAGATAGGATTTAATTTATTTTATTTTCACTATATTTATTTACATTCCGAACCATTTCTGTTTGAGAGTCGGTGGTAATTTTTCAGTTAAAGACATGGGATTCACTTCGACTGCCACTAATTCTTCGTCATTCAACCAGTCTAAGTATACAAGATGCTATAAAAAATAAAACAATAATAGTCATTTCTATACAAATTAGAATTATATAATAGTATAATTAAAATTACCTTATATTTTTTGAGAACTTGAAAAACTTGCTGAGATTGCCAACTTATAAAGGAATTGCTATCTTCATTCATGTCACCGTTTTCACGTTTTAGAATTTTTGTTTCTTTTTCCGAAAATTCATTTAGTTTGTCAATTATATAAACGGTTGAGTCATCATGCATTATTATGATATTTTCGTTGCGTGGATCAAAAATTATATTCGTTATGGGGAAAGGTCGAGCTAACCATTGTTTAGGAAGTCGACTTTGTAAATTATTCGAAAATTTGGTATATTGTTTTTGCAAAATATTATACTCAACGATCTAAAATTAAACATAAAAAAATAATTCTCTATATAATATGCGATTTATAGTTTTTAATTTAATTTTTTTTTTTAATTTTAATATTAAAAAAGAGTTATAATTTACAATTTTATGTAAAACAGGAATTGTAGATCAAAGAAACATTATATGTTTTTTATAGCTGATCTAATTAGTATATAATTAGTATATATCATTATAGTAATTAGTATATATCATTTTATAATATTATATTGTAAAAACAAAATCTTAATATTTCAAAGAAAATAAAAAAAGTATTAATAAAAATTAATTTATATTAAAAAAATAAATATAATAAATATAAATTATTTTTTATGTTTAATAATTATATATAAAAAATTATATATTTTGATAAATATAATTATTATATATAATAATATATAATATATAATATATTAATATTTTCTTAATATTAAAAAAAATCCTTGTTATATAATACATAAAATTAATTTTCTTTTTGCTTACCTTATGATCAGAATATACAATAACTAAATTTAATGTATCTTTTTGAATAGCCATAGCAGTTGATGGACAACTATATTTTGGCAATAACCATGCTTCAGATGTATCATTACTTACAGTTTCACTAATATTATACACAGCAATTCTACCATGATAATCAGCACAAACAAGATATTTACTATCAGGAGAAAAACACATAAGTCCAACATTTATAATGGATTCCTTGTTTGTATAAAAAGAACCAAGATGCCTTAGATGTTTTTTTTCTACTTTATATAGTGTCACAATATTCTTTTTCCCATCATTATTTACTGTTACAAATAATTTTCCATTTGGACTAAATAACATTTTTTGTATTCTGTTTGCAGAAATATCTGTATCATTTCTTAATAATTGTGCATCTCCCTCTATTACATCAAAGTTAAAGACTCTAACATGACTGTCAGTTGAATAAACAATTGTTTTAGAATCTTTATTAATAGCACAAGAAATAATATTTTCGTCCTTTTTTGTTTTTAACTGTAGTAATTTTATAGGTTCTTCTTCTAATTGATATAGCATACCAGGACGTATTGATTCTGAAGATATTTTAGTAGATGAACCAAGTCTCCATAATTCAAGAAAATTTGGATACCTTAATAAAATGCATCTAGATTTTCTACAAACAGTAGCGCATGGAATCTGAAGTAATGGTGGATATTTAACTAAAACTTTCGGTGGATAACTAGATTGAGCTAAATATCCATCTACACCAGCTGAATATAATTTTCCATCTGCTTCTACTAAAGCTCTTACATCATGAGCGTGTAATCTTCTTTCAATTCCTTTTACCCATTGTGGTCTACCACTAGATTTCATAGTTATTTTACAGAAACTTCGTACTACAGGATCAACACCAGCACAATATACAATATTCATATCATGAGACAAAGTGACAGCTAATATATCAGCTGTATGACTCTCATGAGATTCAATTAAAGTACCCATGTGTGGATCCCAAAATGATAAACAGCCACGTGAATCTCCAGAAATTATGATATTATCATCTGTAACTTCTAAACACCAGATAATAGTTTCTTTTTTTGCTTCTTTTCTGGAAGTTGTCATTTTATGAATTGCATGACCAGATATAGCATTCCAAACTCTAATTGTATCAGTTGATCCTGTGTAGATCATTTCTCCAGTATTATCCCATTTAATACAAAGAATTCTTCCCTTTTGTTTATCAAATATTCTCTCATATATTAATGCATCACAAGTAACAGTAAATGTATTAATATATCCATCTTCTGTACCAACAGCTAAACATGTATTTTTATGATTAACATCCATACACCAAGCTGCACCTCCAGTTACTGCAACTTCACTTTTAATAGATAATGTTGTTAAATTATATTCTGCTACCATGCCATGAAGACCAGTTGAAAACAACCGTGGACCTATCCAAAGAATGCTTTCTACAGAGTTTTCTGTATGACCAGGTATTGTACATTCCACAAAAGGTGCGTTTCCAACATTCCAAACTTCAATCGAATTATCACTTCTATAAAAATTTAATAAAAACATTATTATAATTATCTATGGAATTTAAATAAAAATATACTCTTAAAAACTAACCTTGCAAGTGTTAACCTTTTTGTTTTAGATTCATATGATAAACAAGTAGCAGATCGGGGTTCAAGATTGTAAAACCTAATATTATGTATTTTACAACTTGACATGATATTTTTGTTATTTTATAATCATTTACATTAATATTATTAAATTAATTATACAAATTAAACTAAACACTAGAAAACATAACCACAATAGTCACACACGTGGATTTTGGAAAAGTGTCTTTTTACGTTATTATGTTGGTACTTATAATTTTTTTCCACATTTGTAATACATACTATTTTAATTAATTTTTGATGCAATTAAAATTTTTAATAAAAATATAAATATATTTATATATATGATATGAAATCTTATAATTGAATATTATTATTTTATAAAAATTATATTTTAGAACTTTATTGCTTTCTTCCTTCATTATAAAAGTAGATTATACTAATTTATTACATTTTATATTAATAATATTAATAATATTATAATAACATTAAAATTATTTATTAGTTTATAGAAAATAAATTTAAAATAATTATGCAATAAAAAATTAATAATAATTTTATTTTTAGATTAAAATCTAAAGATTGCAGATGATTATTTTTCAAAATCAAAAAATACATTACACATTTTTCTAAGAAATTGATTAGATATATGCGTGTGTGTGTGTATATATATATATATACACATGAATACATATTACAAAATGCATATCTTGTTTAACAATAAACAGCATAGTGAAAAACGTATTACGCAAGCGCAAATTGTATTAAATCGTCGCTTTCCAATAGCCAACTTACTTCATATCAGTTGCTCGTACGAGATGCAGTCAAAAGTTGATAAGTGGGGAGTGTGACATTTTTGTAACATTGTAGATATAACTACATGTATAACTTGTACTGCATAAATTAACAAAATTGATCTAGTTAATCTAGTTAAATTATTCATCACATTAAACAGTTGCCCCGTTTAAGGATCTTAAACGTTTTCTAAAAGAGGTAAATAAATTCATCTCATATTCGGCGCACGAATGTGATTATCGATTGAAATAATTTCCAGAAAGTGCGCATGAGTCATCAGATTGACGTGTACGAGCAGTAGTTTGTTTCTCAAATTAATATTATTAATAAAAAATTTTTATGATATTGTTGCAAAAATGTTTTTCATAATTAAAAAATATGCTAAACTTCAACGTTTTTTGCACTAATTGCTTACATGAAAAAAAAATGTTGAAGTACGTCTTATTGCTACTGTGTTTCATAATGTTGTGTTTATGTGCTTTGCTGACAAAACAAAATCATTATATATATCTCAATTTATATTAAAATATAAAAAGCAATAATTATTTATTTCTAAGCAAGATTCATAAAATTCCCTGATTTCTGTAATGTTTAACTTTCACTTTTTTTTTTTAATCATAATATTTATCAAAAGGCATGCTATGTATATTTATATTTTTAATGAAAAATATATTTTTTAATAGCAATACTGAATTATAACATCAATGTAAAATTGTATGTAGATGTAAATATAGTAATAATTATTAGTTGGTGTTTCTAATGTTATTTTCAGCTGACCTTAATATTTTAAAAAAGTTAATAAAGGTTAATTGTGCTCATATTTATAGTATTTAAATGCATGATGTAGATATTAATTATCACATATAAATGTTTTATTAGAATTGTTGAAAAAGTAATAAGTTATAATAAATTCAAATAAAATTTAAAGATATATTATTTATATTTATAAATATGAGCAATTTATTTTATTATTTTGTAATATTTGAATTCATTTCAGCATATTTGAAATTATCTATATTTGACATATTGTCTATAATTCATTAATCTGAGACAAAAATAATTGTTTCAAATTTAAAAAAAAATTTATAATAATTTTTATAATTTTTAATAATATAAAATTTGTAATTATTATATTTTAAAATTATTTATATTATTTATAAACTCTAATTATTTTTTTATATTACAATTTTTTATATACATGTACATATATGTACAATTTTAAAATTATTACTTTTATTTTTTGTTTATTAATTTAATTTTTTATTACTATTTATTTTTATGAATGAGCATGTTTATTTAAAAGTATTCATCTAATATTAATTAAAATATTAAATAATAATAAATTTTTTTTAATAGAACTTGAAAATAACTTGAAATGTTATAAATGTTTTTAGTAACTTATATATCATTTCATTTTAAGGTTATTGGTACATTCGTGCGCTGATGTTCCATTGATGTTCTATTATTGCAACAATATCTTATGATAATAATAGATTCTTTTTCAGTTAAAACAAAAACCAAAAGATGGCAACTTGGCAGAATACACCTGGTGCAGATTTTTATGCAGGGCAACAAGGTTCTGATCTTTTTTCTAAGTTATACACATTCTTTATTATAATATATTATATTTCTAACATGCAACATAATATTTAGCAACTGCAAACACACATGTTGCTTGTTTGAAGTGGCAATCATCTTTCAAAAATTATCTATTAAATTATCTATTGATACTTTTATTACCTATGATCATTTAAAAAAAAAAAAATAATAGTATTTGATCATATGTATAACAAATCAATGAAACTATGTTCAGGACTGTAAATGTATTAAAAAAATTATATAAATTATTTAAAAAAAAATAAATTAATTGAAATTAATTAATTAAATTAATTAAAATTATAAATTAAGGACATTAATATATATAAAGAAAAATATGCACCAATATTTAGAGGCTGTTAATAAAGCACAAAATTTTGTAAAAAATAATGCTTAATTTAGATAAAGATTCTATTACATTTAATATTCTATGTCTTTAAAATTTGATTACAGGTTATCCTCAACAAAATCCTGCATATCCACATCAAGAAGGATTTAATCCTGGATATCCACCTCCTTACGGAGCAAATCCACCACCACCACCAGGTCAATTTAATATCTTTGTCTTTTTTTTTTTCTATTATTTTAGTTTCTTTATAATGATATCATATGATATTTTTTTTTATTTTCAGGTCCTGGTTTTATTCCTCCAGGTGCACCTCCTTACGGACAAGTTCCACCACCTGGCTTAATATTTGGTACAACACCACAAGCAGGCATGTATGGATCAAATTATGCAGAAGATCCTATGCAATCTGATGATATCAAAGGATTTGAATTCAATGAGAAATCCATTAGAAATGGATTCATCAGGTATTATTATTAAAAATATATTTTATATTTTATATATTTATATATATTCTATATATTTTCATTTTAATTTTTACCTCTTTTTAGGAAAGTATATAGTATATTGATGTGTCAACTTTTGATCACAGTAGGAATGATTGCACTGTTCCTTTATCATGCTCCAACTAATAAATTTGTAATGACGCATCCAGAGCTATTTTGGATTTGTTTTGTTTCAACTATTGTCTTGATCATATGTATGGCTTGTTGTTCCAGTGTGAGACGAAAAGCTCCTATGAATTTCATATTTTTGTTTTTATTTACAATAGCAGAAGGTTTTTTATTAGCTACTGCTGCTTCTACATTCAAATCTGAAGAGGTAATTATGTGTTTGTATATATATATATATATGTGCATAATGCATTAATGTTTTTTAATTTTTTAATTTAATTTTTTAATTTATATTTTTTATTAAATAAAAATGAAATATTTTTTACTTACAGGTACTATTGGCTGCTGGAATTACTTCAGTTGTTTGTCTTGGATTAACATTATTCGCATTTCAAACAAAATTTGATTTCACTGGTCTTAATAGCATACTCTTTGTTGCATTACTAATTTTCGTAGTGTTTGGAATATTTGCAATGATATGGCATGGAAAAATTATGACACTAGTATATGCATCGATTGGAGCTTTACTTTTTTCTATTTATTTGATTTATGATACACAAGTGATGATCGGTGGTAAACATAAGTATTCCATTTCTCCAGAAGAATATATCTTTGCAGCACTAAACCTTTATATAGATATTATCAATATTTTCCTTTATATTTTAACAATTATTGGTTCTTCGCGAAATTAAATACTATAAAATATATTTTCTTTGTTGCCGAATTAATGTTTAATGCAAAATGCTTTCATTCATCATTGTTTTATTTTGACTCTCTTTTATTTGTATATAGAGAGTACATTACAAAAACAATGAGAGATAAAAAAGTAGCAGAGAGGCAATAATTTCTATGGAATAATAGCTTTTACACAATTTTCAAAGTATAAATAACACAGAGAAAAATTATATTATTTTAAAGTTGAATATCTAGTCTTGTAAGACAAATAATTCTTATTAAAAAATCTATTAAAAAAAAATAAACCAACTGTTATATAATTAAGAATATAAATAAGCTTATATATAAAACCTAAACACAATTTATATATTTACTCATGATTTTCAATTCATTTTTTTTATTAAAAGAAAGTATTATTTTTGTTTTCATTAAACTTACTTAAACAAATATATTTTATTTTGTAAAAAACGGTTTATTATTATTATTTAAGAATATGAATTCCGAATATCCAATAAATAATTAATTTAATTGTTGTAATATATAATATGAAATACATTTTGACGATATTAATGTCTGTGCGTTAGATATAGTTACACTTAAATATAATTCTAAATTATCCTAATAATGTATACATGTATTTATTCATTATATGTGTTAGAAAATAGATATTATATTATTTGAACATATTTGCATAATAAAATAAAAATTTCAAAGTATTAAATAGTATTACTATTTTTTTTTTTATTATACAACTTCGTTTTACTTTTGATATTGCAATGATTTGGCTGTGATATGTAAACATATAAATATATAATATTATAATATAACAATAATGTAAGTAATGATATTACATGTATATATAATTATTATCAATAATTATTATTTCTTCATGTAATGATACATAATGATAAAATCACTTTCCTTATTCACTATCTGTCATTATAATTTATATTTATTGCAAAGGGAAATAAAAACATTTATTTCGAAATCGTGAATATTTATATTTGTAGTAAATTAGTCTTACACAAATAGGATAAAAGCTCTTGATTTTTAAGCTTTCAAATTTTAACTTAAGATGTAAATAAGCATATATAGTGCAATGACTGTATGAAAAAGCATTCAATATTCACTTAAGTTTTTTTAAGATCAAAAGATGTCCACATTCATTCTCACTTTTCTCATTATGGTAACAAATTGCAGCCTCATAACAAACAAATTCCTAGTTGACTTTGTTCGTGGAACAATGCATGGAATTTTACATGGAAAATAAAGCTCCATCAGAAATATATATTATTGATTTTTTTTTCATTATAAAAGTTATGATAGAGCTTTAATGCTTGGTATACATGCAATAGACACATTTATAAGTACAATCATATATGTGACAAACAGCATTTATAACCCACCCTTTAAAAAAATCCAGGTATAATTAAAAAACTTCACTTTCAAATTAGAATTATCTTTTTTGTTTTATACTTTGAATTAAATTTAGATATATTTTAATTAGAAATTTTGTCAAATAATTTCAATCGAATTTGAATTAGGCAGTGTTGTGAAGAGTTTAATTATACTATTATGCTTTAAATTATGCTCTAAATCTATCCACAAATCTATTTTGAGTGGCACGAGCTGATATATATTATATTATGCGCCATTAAAATAAATAATATAAGATTAGCAGCACCGATTAGAATTTCTTTCCACCCTTCGATCAACTGTTACTCTATCAGGAGCATCTTGTGGTTCTTTTCCATGAGTTTTTTCCAATATTGCTTCAGCTAATTCACTAAATGCACGATCAATGTTAATATTTGCTTTTGCAGATGTTTCCATAAATCTAATTCCATGCTCTCTTGCTATCTAAAAGAAAATATTAATTTACTATTTTGTGATATTTATAACTTACATATAATTTAAATAAATATATACTAAAAATATAAATAATACTTTACCGCCTCTCCTCTTTCTGTGCTAACAACACGTTTGTCTTCCATATCACTTTTGTTTCCCAATATCATTTTTTCCACATCTTCGTTTGCATGCTAAAATGATAATTTTAAAAATATAAATAATCTATATCATCTATTATATGTAATAAAAAATTTATTACAATACTTACTTCATCAATATTTCTTAACCATTTAACAATATTTTCAAACGTTTTTTCATTAGTAATATCATAAACAAGCATAATACCCATTGCACCTCTGTAATATGAGGTAGTAATAGTATGAAATCTTTCTTGACCAGCTGTATCCCTGAAAATATATATATTAAGGATTGTTTAAAAAACTTTAATATATCCATAACTTACCATATTTGTAACTTGATTTTCTTTCCTCTTAATTCCACTGTCTTGATTTTAAAATCAATACCTAAGTAACAAAAAGTATATTGTTTATTTATGCAACATACTTCACAGAATATTAACATTTATTTATATAAAACAATCAATTTTGACAATAATGTTGTCAAACAATTATTTTAAAAATATAAATTTTTTTATATACTTAACAAAATAAAAAAATAATTATATTTCAATATTCAATTTTTTTATTTCTTGTTTATTTTCAATTTACAATATTATATTTTTGTCTTAGTAGCATAACCTACTATATTGAAAAGAATTTATAAAGTAACGGTTTGATTTAAGAAATGTATGAATAATTATTATTTATAACGGTTCTCCTACCTATAGTAGAAATAAATGTTGTTGAAAAAGCATCATCAGAAAATCTAAACAATATACAAGTTTTGCCAACTCCGGAATCACCAATTAGCAATAACTTGAACAATAAATCGTATGTCTTTTTCGCCATTTCACTGTTGCTCTGCGTTAACGAGGCGCCGAAGAAAACAAAAAAGATTCAAATCCGTAGAGCACAATTAACAGTTTTCCAGATAATATTTCAAACATCGAACGCTATGAACGATTATAGGTTTCAAGGTCGGACGAGGGCGCGTCTCGGTGTCTCGTTAACGACGGAAAAACCGGTCACAGGGGCTGACTATTAAAAGACAATACGACGTCACACAACAGAGCAACACGCAGAAGCATCAGGGTAACTTTGCACTTTGCGTTCGACTGTACGACTGAATAGATCAAATAACATTTACTAATACGATCGCATCTTCATTGTAATTAGCGGTAATCATAAAAGTCTGCCGGGTTCAATTGCGAATATTCTATCTACCACGGGAGGTCACCACCACTGCAAAAATAATTTTAAATTATCCGGATAAATAACGGGCTAAATGTATAAAATTATTGCTTATTTTATCGATTTGTACTACTAACATTTATATACGATTCTATATCATTTGTTTTGGATTAATGCTTATTGAAATATTATTAATACTACAAAACGTATTGTATGTATTTTTTTTTTAATTTGAGATATTATAAGATTAATAAAACAATACGATCATTAACACATTAAAAGTTAATCAATGATAAAGTATATTATTTATAATTAATGTTTCATTATATTTTTAGATATTTGTAATATTATAGTGCATAAATATTTTGATAAAAATTGTATAGCATAATTTAATACATATTCAAATGTGATTCTAAAGGGTAGTAATAGCACAGACAAATTATAATATAGACTTCTTATTTAATGCACTTTTTAGTCACAAGAATTTGGAAATCAAATAATTACTTTATCATTTTTGTATCATGCACTACATTATCGATTCAGTACAGCAAAACATTATAACCATAGATCACAAATTATAGAATAATAGAGATATATTTATTAACTGATTGTCACGCTGTAGCCGTAATATCCTGAAACTATAATAATAAAAAAAATAATAAAGATAAAAAAAAATTCTACTTATTCGACAACCAATAAAAGAAAGACGCTTTTATTATAGAAAATGCTATAAACAAAACTGGCATATAAAATCAAATTTAAAATTAAAATTTAAATTAAAAAATTTTTATAAATATTTTACATTTCTATGATCATAACAAAGAAAAATAAAATTATATTTTATATTAAAAAATATAAATTAAAATGATTGAATCATAAAAGAAGATTATTTTCTAAAGTGGATAAGATAGAGTAAGAATTAAATATTACTGCCATCTTTTTAGGGCTTAAAAAAATATTTCTTTAACAAGATATTTGAAATACCAACCAAAAAAAAATCAGAGTTACGCCATCTAACATAATTTATCCTAACTATATACACAATATTATCACTCAATGATATAAAGAAAAAAAATCTTACATTTTATGATTTTAAGGTTTAAAACGAGAATATTATTTCTCACTTTAAAAAATAAAAAAATTATCTACGAAAAATATAATCGCGCTTGCAGCCAATTGGTTCATATTATTTCTTATAAAATATATAATTGTGTTATATAATATTAGCTACACGATGATATAATTAAAATATCGTATATTAAATAATATGATTTTTCATGTCTCACCGTTTTGAGGTTGCTGCGAACTGGAGACTCTCTGACCACGACGTCCCATCCACCCTCCTTTTATACGAAAATTTATTTATTCACAATTCTCTTTTATATGGTATATGTTTGTAAAACGTTCAAACTTTTGATCGTTGTGCAACACGAACACCAAAACCGACACGGAAGACTAAACCTAAAAAATAAAATTAAAATTAAGAGATCTTCTTTACACTTCAGAGATCAATATTTTATACTTCCATCGATATGAAAATGAAAAATGATTGATAATAGAAGCTTAAAAAATATAGCTTAAAAAAAAAAAGTAAACAAAATAAACAAAATAAGCAAAATAAGCGAAATAAGCATCCCAGAAAGCACTAAACACCCATCTACTTATCTACAGTATCTA